TCAAGGAGCTCTTCCCCGATTGGTCTGAGCAGGATATTCTCTACGCTCTTCAAGAGACGGATGGTGATGAGAACCTCACCGTCACCCGCATTGCTGAAGGTATGTGAGCGCACGGCTCCTGCCTCGTCAGGCTGCTAACCAAACCCTTCCCGCGCGACGAATCGACAATCCATCAATTCCCCTCCCTCTTTCCCCTCAAGCACTGCTCAATCGCATCGCTTTGGTGCTCTCAGCTAATCAAAGATTGTTACTCCTAGGCACCATCTCCCAATGGGGCGAAGTCACGAAGAAGGCTCCCCGCTCCAAGGCCAAGGACTCCACGACCGCAGCCTCGAACATCGACTCATCCAACGCTAGACCCACTCGTGGCGGACGCAACGTCTCGGAGGCTGGTCGCGGTCGCGGAAGAACTGCTGAGAGAGGAGGTCGCGGTGGCCGGGGCAGGGCCTCAAACACAGTAGCTACTAATGGCTCTCGCCATAACAAGGAGAATGCTCAGCCGCTCTCCGTTCCTACCGAAGAGTCGAACGCATGGGATACCCCGAAGCTGGACGTTAAGGACGCACCCGCCGAGGACCCCTGGGCCCCCAAGGAGACGACCGAGAAGGCTGCAGCTCCTGCTCCCACTCCCGCGGCCGCCGCCGCTTCAACCGACGCGCCCAAGCCTGCCGCCGCCGCTCCCAAGACGTGGGCTAGCATGCTCCGTCAATCCACCGTGCCCAAGGTTGCCCCGAAGCCGCCCAAGGAGGAGCCCGCGCCCAAGCCCGCCGAACCCATCGAACCCCTTCCTCCTGCCGTCCCTGCCGTCGAACCTACACCCGAACCTGAGCCCGAACCCGAGGCACAGCCTGAGCCTGTTGCTCCCGTCGAACTCCCCGTGGAACCCGCCCATGAAGAACCAGCTCCTGCAGAAGTACCAACCGTCATCGAACCTGAAGTGGTTTTGCCGCCTTCCAAGGACCAACTTACTGAGACGAATCTTGAACAGGTCGTCGACGAATCGCATCCTCCCGCGACTGCTACCGTCGCAAGCACCGCCGCCGATTCCTGGGATCCTCGCCACAACGCTGCGAGCGCTACCGCGACACCTTTGTCTGCCTCCCAGCAGCAGCACCAGCCCATCCGCCCTGCTGTTCCCACTACTAACAGCGGTTTTGCCGCTTCCGCCATCAAGGCCACCACCGAAAGAGGATCCCGTACCCCGAGCTACCAGCGTCGCGTTCTTGACCAGGAGGAGGCCGTCCGCATGCCTGGCAACCGTGAGGTTGACCGGGCTGCCGTCCAGTTCGGTGCTTTCAGCTTGAACGAGGATGATGACATTGATGGTGATCGCGAAGAGCCGGAGACCCGGACCCAGCCCCCCGCTGATTCTCCTGTCGCTCACCCCCGAACCTCTCTTCCTCCCGCTCCTCAGCAGGCTCCTGTTCCCGAGGCCATTGGCACTCAGAAGCCTGCTCCTGGCCTGCCTCCTCCTGCTGCTGCCACCCCTACCGGTACACTTGCTTCAACTAGCAACGTCACCGACTTTGCTAATGCCCCCTTCTCAGGACCCGCAAGCGCTGCTCCCCAGGCGCCCGCCGCTCAGGGTATGTCCGCTTCTATGCCAGGGTTACGTAGTCTTACCTGTTCAAAAATACTGACAAAAGCTTCAGTCCCTCAACCTGCCGCTGCTGCCGCCCAGCCTTACTCCCGCTTCGGCCAGGCTGGCCCTCAGGAGCCCTCGTCCTTCCCCCAAAAGTCGATCGATCCTTTCACCCAGTCAAACAACCCCGCTGCCTCGCAGACTCAGTTCGACAGCTTCTCCAACCAGCAATCGCAGCAGAGCCAGCAACCCGGTGGAGCCTTCAGCTCTGCTCCCAGCGACTACTCCTCCTACTACACGGCGGACCAACAGAACCGTCCCCCTTACAACTACTACAGCCAGCCCTACGGCCAGCAGGGAGCTCAGGGTCACCAGGACAACCTGTCTTCCCAGCAGAGATCTTTCGGTGGTTACAATGCTTCGCAGGCTGATAACTTGAGCCAGTACCCCCAGAGTGGCGGTCTGCAAAACCAGTCTCGCTACGGAGGCGTCACGAACGATGCCCAGAACAGCGGACACAGCACCCCGAACCCCACCGCCCAAAGCCAGCAGGCCGCCAGCCAGGCCTCGCAGCCTCAGTCTCACGGCCAACAAAGCTACCCCTACAACAACCACCCCTACTACAACAACGCTTACTACTCGAGCTACATGGGCTACGGAAACCACTACGGTCAGCAGGGAGGATATGGCGGTGCTCCGTATGGCGGCAACAAGGGATACGGCGGCCACCCCGGATACGGCATGTCGCCCCAGGGCCCCTACGACCACGCCTCGTCCCCTGCTGCTGGCTTCGGCCAGTCATCTCTGCACCGCGCCGATAGCGGTCTGAGCTCGGGACTTGGAGGTGACTTTGGCGGCCGCGCTGGTTCCGCTCAGTCTGGAAACCAGCCCGGCCTGGCCGGCAGTGGCTTCGGCGGTGTTCAGGACACCTTTGGCCGTGGCTCCTCTTCGTTCCAGAGCCCTGCTGGACAAGGATTTAACAGCACCGCCCAGTCGAACGCTGCTTCTGCTAACGATGATTTGAAGCCTTTCGGTGAGAGCAAGCCCGGTGCCGGTCCGTCGCCTTCTCTCGGCGGCGCTCGCCCCGGCTCGGCCACGAACACCCCTTCGGGCCAGACTGGTCTCCCCCCGCCCCAGTCCGCTTCCCAGATGGGTGGCTACGGCGGTTACCCCAGCCATCTTCAGGGCCACAACCTGCACGGAAACAGTGCCTACGGCATGGGAGGCGCCTCCGGCGGTCAGCACGGCAGCGCTCCGTTCGGATCCTACGGCCAGCAGGGCGCTTACGGTAGTGGATACTACGGTAGCGGCGGCCAGCAACAGCAGCGCGGCGGTTGGGGCGGAAACTACCACTAGGAAGGTAGTGGTCGTCGGCCATCTCACCCACGTCATTACGGTGGAATGAGAGGTGGCTAAGGCCTCGGTGCCCCCAAACACGTCGTTAGCTGTTTACAAGACTCTCTCTCTCTCTCTCTTTGGGCCTGCAGATGGTTATAAGCTGCAGGTGGCAAGGATAATTCATGCGGTCTCTTTCTACGGGGAAACTTTCTTCTCTCTACTCATTACCCAAGTGTATGGTCTTCGAGCGTGTACGATCTATCAACAAAAAAAGAATCAGGGAGGGGAAACACTTTCGGATGGTCACCGGCCGCAACGGAACTGTGTTTTTTGTTTTCTTTTTCGCGATGGGAAGGTCTCATCAGGCTTTTCTAAGAATGATAGCCGGCGGCGTGGTGGTATGCGGCCTTGAAAATTCGATTGAAATGACAGATGGAACGGATCCGGTGGGAGGGTTGGTCGTTGGTCGTTGCCCAATGGAGGGCCAAATACTGAGATTGAACTCCTTGGAAAGGGAGCACGATAGCCAATGAAGACACATGGCACATGACATTTTTGTCTTGCAAAATACTCTTTCCAACTGATGTGTGATGTCTTTAGCGCTTTTTCTTCGTTATGTTGTCCAGCATCCTCGACCGAGCCTATGGTTGTTATCGAACGAATGTGGCCTTGCTACCCTTTTGGCTCTGACTTGAATATCGCGGGATTGGCAGTTCGCGGCCAAGTAATCGATCCATTTCCCCGCGCTATTAGGTAGATATTGGAAAGATGTGTTGTAAGGCATTCCGAAGTCTAGAGTGAATGGGGACGATTTTCAACTATATCCAATCCTGTACCCCGAGACATTATTGAGATTTGGGTCATCATCCTTGGATTAGCCTTATGAGCCCGCCTGACGCATATAGATAGATTTATCCTAAGATTCAAGTGAACACCAGTCATTTTACACCACAGTGGATATGGTATTCTCATAAAGAAAGTGCGAATGCCATCAAGATGCTTCTATTCTTGTAAAAGTTGTCGAAAATTGCCTTACGCAGCCAGGCTTATATGTGTGCGATGCGGGGTGTTCTTGGCATTGGCAATGCTCATGGCGGCCTCCGGTCTTGGCGAAATGAGATTACGTCTGTGACTGTCAGGCATTCGACCGACCGCGGTGCCAGCCTGCTGGTCATGCGCCATTTCCGACGATGCGGATTTCCTCGGCTCCTGAACGTTGCCTCTTTTCTCCCTCAACTGCATCTTTGCAAAAGACTTTGACCCTGCGCTTTTTCTTTGCTTCGTCATTGTTCGTGTTCGCGCCCACATATACATCCCCGCCGTTCGAAAACTACAGCCGTTGATATGTGGAAGCCAAAGCTTAATTTCATCTCTCTTCACTGTAAGTTGCGCCCTTGCTCTCCGCAAACGCGAGCGAGTCCTTTTTGGCCTTGTTACTCGTGTTTGTACAGCGACAACGACACCGTCAGGGTTGATGATTGAGATGAGCTGACTGGGTTCTATTGAATATCCACAGACACGTGGATTTTGTTCTGTAGTCTCCTCTCATGGGTGATTCTGTATCCGTACGGCAACTTGGCCGCCGTGGACGCCTTCTTCTTCGGCTGCAGTTCGTCGACAGAGTCTGGTTTGAATACGTGCGTGGCCGCATGACCTTCTTGCTCTCTAAAGTTGCGATGACAATCTGACTGTTTGATGATGCAGCATTGATGTGAAGGACTTGAAGACCTATCAGCAGGTGTATATTTACGTGATCCCCATGATCACCAACTTGATGTTTGTCAACATTATCGTCGTCGTGGCGCGTCTGTACTGGTTCCGGCAGCGCCTTCGAAACACTGGTAGGCTCCTAAAGGGTATCACTCTTGTTTACCTAGGCTAACGGCGCCTTCAAGTTCCTTCTTCACTCGGAAGATGTGGCGACCAAGATGTAGAGGCCAACCAGGAGTCGGAAAGCAAGCCTGGCAAGGGAGCTGAGATGCCGTTACAGCCGGAAGCAACTCGTGATCCGGATGACAATTCTGCTCCACTACCAGTCCATTCCTTACAGGCACCAAGAAATGAGGATATATCCCACGAAATGGACGACCAGCCCAAACCTACGCCTAGACCGACTAACATTACTTTTGACGACAATTTGCCACTGCCCAGGCCTCCTGGTCGTGCGGATACCATTGTTCTTCACGTTCCCGGTCCCATAGATCGCATCAACGGTATGTGCTATGCCTCTTCCTTCAGCTTTCGCTAGCTAAACCAACCCTCCTCTAGGCCAGCCGATCACTGAGATTCCAGTTGGACGTGGTGAGATTGATGGTAGGCACTTGTAACTCCCTATCTAGTAGATAATCCAGTTGAGCTGACGTGGCGAAAAGACACTGATACGATTCGACCTGTTCGCCGGTCATCGGTCGGCTTGTCGAGACGGAGACCGCATCACACCAATGGTCCCGCGATGCGTGCGGCCCTCTCCATCGAGAAGGTCGCTTCTTCGATGCTGGTCCTCGGACGGACAAGACACACCGAGACCGAATCACGTCGCTCCGGAACGTTCAGCCGCTCCCGCACCCTAGATCTTCCCAGACTATCCCAGCAAGCGACCGTCGGGCGGAATTCTCAGTTCTTCAACCTCACCGAACAAGACCGCGAACTTCTCGGCGGCATCGAGTACCGGAGCCTGAAGCTCCTGCTCAGGATCATTTCTAGTATACGCCTGCATAACCCCCCTCGTCCCCCGAAACAGATTTGGCTGATCCAGCGGTAGTCTACCTCGTCGGACTCCATCTCTTTGGAGTCGTCTGCCTCGTGCCGTGGATACACAACGCGCCGTCAAAGTACAAGGACGTCCTGGCCCAGAGCGCGCAGGATCGGACCTGGTGGGCCATCTACTCGGCCCAGACCATGGTCGACAACCTGGGCTTCACGCTCACGCCGGACTCGATGGCGAGCTTCAGGGACGCGACCTGGCCCATGCTCGTCATGACGTTTCTCGCTTTTGCGGGAAACACCTGCTACCCCGTCTTCCTCCGCCTCGCCATCTGGACCATGTCCAAAGTCGTTCCTCGTACCTCGGCCACCAGGGAACATCTGCAATTCCTGCTGGACCACCCGAGACGGTGCTACACGCTCTTGTTCCCCAGCAAGCCGACCTGGATTCTCTTCGGCATAGTCTTCGCCCTCAACTTCATCGACGTTTTGCTCATCATTGTCCTGGACCTCGACAACGCGGCCGTTAACGACCTGCCCATGGGCCCGCGCATCTTATCCGCGCTCTTCCAGGCTGCATCGGCGCGACACACGGGAACCGCGACATTGAATCTCAGCCTCGTCAACCCGGCTGTGCAGTTTAGTCTCTTGTCCATGATGTACATTGCCATCTACCCGATCGCCATCAGCATCCGTGCGTCCAACACATACGAGGAGAAGGCGCTGGGCATCTACAGCGACGACAGCCAGCTCGACGAGAGTAACGGTGCATGGTACATCATGTCTCACGTCCGCAACCAACTCAGCTTTGACCTGTGGTACATCTTCTTGGGAACCTTTTGCATCTGTATCGCAGAGTCGGAACGTATCATGGATCTCAACGAACCGGTGCGTTTTTTCCCAACCCGAACTCAAGTAACCCAATTGCCCTCCCCGATTACTAACACAGATACCCAATCAGGCCTTCTCCGTGTTCCCAGTCTTCTTTGAAGTCGTCAGCGCATAGCAAGTACCCCGACCTCTCCCCCCGTACGCCCCCGTCTTTTATCGCTCACTAAATTCCAGCGGCAACGTCGGGCTGTCCCTAGGACACCCGTCAGTCATGACCTCCCTCAGCGGCGAGTTCACGACGTTCAGCAAGCTCGTCATCTGCGCCATGATGACCCGCGGCCGCCACCGCGGGCTGCCGTACTCGGTCGACCGCGCCATCATGCTTCCCAGCGAGGAGGGCTCCTCGCAGTCCGAGATGGCTAGGCGCGCCGCGGCGGAGCGGGAAGAGAGATATCTCATGACCGACAAGCGCCACAAGCTGCTTTACACCAAGACTAACCATACCATGTGAAACTAGCTCAAGTGATCAGCCCGTCCACTGGCAACGGACTTTTTTTTTTTTTTGGACCGATTAGGAAGGTGAAATATCAGGTTTGATTCCTGTTCATTTCTACAAGCGGCGAGACTGGCTACTAGATTGATGAGGTGGATTTTCTCCACCATTACAGTGCCCTTTAGACTAGATTACAATACCTAGGTACTCGCTCAATATGTTACAAATTCCTCCTACCTTTATGTATCTGCATGTAAATCTTGCCTGGACTAGAAAGTATGCAACGTCTCAAAGGCAAAGGGAACTACCAGTCTCGGTGCCACATATAACGAAGCCACGCATAGGGAGTTACATATATTCATCCGATTTCTTTAAGATGCAACTACCAGTACTCAGACCTTGCCTTCAACGATGGCCGCTCGCATCTGGGAACTATTCTCTGAGTCTTCTTCTGCTACTACGCGTCCTCTGCTTGTTTCCTTACCGTCTTGCCTAGCCACGAAGAACCATGCGGCAGAAACAGCTAACAACGTTCCACAGAGGAGGCCGATGGAACAGGAATAGCTTACTCGGTACGTAGGACCGAATCTCGACTGGTATATCTGAGGACCCTATTCAAAAGTTCGTTAGAAGACGAGAAAGGAGCGAGATGCCGACGAGGATTGCACTTACCACAATGCCCATGAGCTGACACGATGCCTGGAAATTGGTCATGGGTTAGCATGGCTTCAAATCTGGTAGGTAGGGAGCTTGGCTTTCTTACATTGGTCACACCGATGGCGAGGCCTGCGCTCGTTGTCCCCTTCGCGGCTCTGATGCGCTCTGCAGTATGCGTTTATTAGCTTTTGTAAGCGTGAGGTATCCTCGGCGATAAATAGCGGGCCCGACCTACCTGGCCATATTATGGCGAAGAAACTCTGTGACGCGGCGGTTGCGATCATGACAAATATATACCTAGCATAAGGTCAGCCCTATCACCATTGAGTAGGGCGAGTTTTTACTTGGCAATGGGATGCTTGACCGTAATGAGAAGCACGTAACAAACGATTTGGGCAGCTTCCAGGCCCAGGCCAGCGATCCAGGGACTGAGTCGTTTTGTGTGTACGAAGAAGGCCAATGTTAACAGTATCACGAAGACCAACGTAAAAGGGGGCTATTCGAGGATAAGTCTTTCTTCAACATGGTCCACGAGCACGGCAGTGATGACTTTGAAACTTACCATAGTCATCACTTGTGAAATAGCAGTGTTCGAAATGCCAAGTTCGTAAATGACAGTGGGTAGGACAAAGGATATTCCCCATCCACCGATGCCGTGGGTAATCCAAATCATCAAGAACGGAATGAATGTCGGATCACTGAAGAGATCCTTGACTTGTTGGAGATTGATTGTCTTGGACTTCATGGTTGGTGCTTGCTCGGGGAGATCGGATAGGATTGCTTCTCTTTCCGAGTCTGTGAGGAACTCGACGGTCTCGGGATCTGAGGTTGGTTCTATGTGAGCATACCCCAGGAAGAGGCCAAGACGTAGCTACACTCCCAGGTGATCGGAATGATATAATGCTCACAGTTTGGTAGAAAGAAAAAGGTATAGATGCCGCAAAAGATAGCGGGGATCCCTTCAAGGATGAAGAGCTTCGTCGTGTTAGTTAATGGCATCCATGATACCTTTGAGAGATGAGATGACTTACCCATCTCCAACCGGATAGACCCCCAACGCCATTCATGAACGAAATCGCATATGCTATGAATCATTCTTAGCAACGTTGTATTAGTTGAGCACATCCAGTTCTCCAGTACTCACCTAGCAGACCGCTAATAGTCCCAGAAAACATTCCGCAAGCGTAAAAGAAGCCCTAAAAAAAGTGAGTAATTGCGTACTTCTTTTGACTTGGCCAGAGCCTCTGAACTTACAATCCGAAGCGGAAGCCTATGAGTCGGATACCAGAAGCTTAGATGGTACAAAACACCAGGGTAGAACCCCGCCTCAGCAAGCCCCAAGAAGAACCGACAGGCCAGCATGCCAGCATAATTCTGAGTTGCGCCCTGGCACATTGATATGATCCCCTTTCATCAAGAATTAGCAAATCAAAACATACATGCATGGAGCTGGCAATCCAACGTACCCAAGTAATCATGATCCGACTCATCCACACTGAAGGCGAAAACCTCTTCAACGCGAGCGTGGCGAGAGGCTCGAAGAACATGTAGGGGTAGTAAAAGATGCTCAAAGCCCACGCCCACTCTGAGCTGGAGAGGTTGCCGAGCTGCTTCTTGATGCCGGTGCCTTGTTCGAGGTTGATGATGGCTGCGTTGCTGATGTTGCTGACGTGGATTCGCATGATGAGGTAAACGAAGGAGTACCATAGTAGAAGCCTCTTGTCGACTTTGCGATGAGCTGTTTTGAGGAGAGGCTTTTCTTCGGAGGAGGAGATTGCTGTGCCCTCAGGACTCGTTTGAGTGCCCATGATCGCGTTGACTTGATGAGGTCTTCCACGAAGGGTCACACTGGCGACGAATGATCGACCACGGCTTCTGGTACAAGAGAAGGTATTAACTAGCTAAGACCTCTGTCCGAATAAAGTATCTAAGCTACATGGTCTTTCAAATCTCGCAATCTTTGATTTAACTTGATGCCGATTACGGCTGATGCAAAGCCAAGATATGTCTGCACGAAGCACGCCTTACTGCGGGGCCATGTGCACAGCAAGTTCGCCTATGTGACGTCCTGCAATCGACGACTGAGGGCATTCTCATTGGTTGTTGTCTTGTCCTGGTCGAATTCTTCAGCATTTTCTCGTGAGGTGCCTGGATTAATTCTTACAAAATCACAATGCTACATGTTGAGGCGAACTTAAGTGACCTAGCTTGAGTTCGAAAGGAACAACACGCACCATGGCTTGCATATCCTTTTGAGATAGAGTAAGATTTGATTTGACGAAGATTTCCTCGGAGAAGTCGATAATCATGTAGATGAAGACGAGATTTCGGACCTTGGCTCAAGGTACTTGCAATTCCTCGGACACTACATCATCATTTGGCATCACACCTTCTAGTTGAGAGAGAGAAGTATGCCCCGTTTCACCCATTGACTACACACAATGATGGAAAAGGACAGCCTCGGGAAAATACCGAAGATAAAACAAAATAACAGCGGGAGTTATGCTTGGAGAGGTACATTGAAGCTGGTGATTGGACGCATGGTACCAATACTAGCATGAGGATGCGGCTCGTCATCCCGGATGAGATGGCGTGCTCGAATTCCGGCGATCTCGCTCCGACACGGCACAACGGGAGTGGCGCGGGGCGCGCGGGGGCAAGACACAAACGGCTTGATATCAGATGGAGGGGTATTTATGGAAAGACAATTATGACCTCACAGGAATTGACTTCCAACCTACGCACTGGAACCAGAACTCGCATCAATTCGGGATACAACTACAATCCATTAATCAAGATGCCTTCAGCCATATCTCCGGAGCCAGTCTCCCTGCCAAAATGGCAGCGGCCTGCAAAGACAAAGCACGAATTGCCCTGGGCAGATATCGCGGTGATTGACATTAGCAAGTTTGACCAACCAGGCGGGAAGAAGCAGCTGGCCGAAGAACTTCGACAAGCCGTGAGGAAATTCAAGTCTTTAAGCTAGGCAGGAATCTAATAAGTTAATTAGGTACACGAGACTGGCTTCTTCAGTCTCATCAACACAGGCTTCACACCTGAGGAAGTGCAGCGCCAGTATGATATCGGCCAAGGCTTCTTCGACCTCGATGGCGAGGATAAGGCGAGACCGGGTAACACGTGCGACTTTTCCAAGGGCAACTACTTTGGATATAGATCGGTGAGTCTGGCAGCGTTTGGAGATATCATTCTGTAAGGAACAATAACTCATCAAGGCACCAGGCCCATGATAAGAAGATGCAAGGAACGGATGTGCTCAATAACGTCGAATCGGTAAACATTGCCAAGTTCATCCCAAACTACAAAGATGAGCCATTCCATCCGTTTTTTGAGCCGTTTCGACAAGAGATCGAAAACTTCTCAAGAGTGCGTACACCATCTATACAAATTTCCGTTTTACAAAACTAGCCTCTCATCCTCACTCGCACATATTTAACACTCCAGCAGCGCTCTCTTGAGCTAGCAAGCAAAGTCTTCACCCTCTTCTCCATCATCCTCGAACTCCCAGAAGATTACTTCTCCTCCCGCCACGCCTACGCCTCCCCGAGCGAAGACCACCTTCGCTACATGGGCTACCACCCCCGCCCCCTCGCCGACGACCTCAAAGTCGGCAACACCTGGTCGCGCGCCCACACTGACTTTGGCTCTCTCACCCTCCTCTGGAGCCAGGACGTCGCGGGGCTCCAGATCAAGACTTCTTCTTCCTCGTCAGCCCCCAATGGCGCGGGCGAGTGGCGCTACGTACCGCCCGTGGACGGCGGCATCGTCTGCAACGTCGGCGACACGCTCGATTTCTGGTCCGCAGGGTACTTGAAGTCGACGACGCACCGCGTTGTGAGACCGCCTGAGGATCAGGCTCATTTGTTCCGGCAGGGGTTGTTTTACTTTGTGAGGCCTGGTGATGATGTCGATATCAAGCCTGCGCCGTCGCCGCTGTTGAAGAGGCTCGGGCTTATCGGGGAGGATGCGGAGGAGGCTGCGCCGGTGAGGGGGTTGCAGTATGTCAGGGAGCGGGTGAGGGATTACCACGATCACAATGATTATGCGGACATGAAGGGCAAGAAGTTTCGGGTGGGCAATCTTGAGATTGAGGACGAAGCGGAGTGAACACATATGAGTGGGAGCATGTGAATGAAGTTGAAAATTGTACAATGTCTATTTAGGTATCTTTGGTATCGCTGCTGCGAAAAAATCAAAATGCTTTTGGTGAGATATGTTCCATATCCATTATTTACTGGTCGTACTCGCCGGCATACAGAATGTCGGTAGGCTGACCGTTCGCGACATCCCAGATGGAACGCTCCTCCAGGTCCAACTCTCTCCTCAGAGCAGTAACATTGACACCAGTCTCCTTAGCCTGGTCCTCCTTTGCGAGCTTGACGTGAAGGAAGACAGCAGTTCTCTTGCCGGTGTAGAGCGCATGGGGAACGTTGGTGCTGTTATCCGAGTTGGCATCGCCAATGGCGTAAATGCCGGCCACGTTGGTCGCGTATCCCTTGCTCACATCAGCAGCCAGACGGCCGCCCCAGAGCTGAACGCCGGCCTCGGCGCCGATGGTGCTGCGCTGCTCGTCGGGGTAGCTCAGGAAGAAGGCGGCGCGCTCGACGGGCTCGCCCTCGCTGAAGCTGACGGAGAAGAGGTCTTCCTCGGGCGCGGTGGGGAGGGAGGGGTCGTGGGGCGGGTTGCCGCCGTCCTTGAGGCGGGTGATGGCCGTGATGGTGCGGTTGTCGATGGTGACGTTGTGGAGGTCGAGGTACTCTTGGAACTTGGGGTTCTTGGCCTCCGTCTCGGCGCGGGCGGCGGGGGTGTCGGTGCCGTTTGCAAAGGCGATGATGTCCGTGTTGAGGGTCAGAATCTCGCGGACGAGAGAGGGGAGGTCGTCAAAGGTTGAGGCGAGGAGTCCGAGGGCTTGGTCTGCGTGCTCGTGGCCGTCGCACCAGGGGCACTTGAATCCAGATGTTAGAATTGAAGTTTCGTTGGAGATGAATGCATGTTTGATAGCGACGTACCCAGTAGATACCCTTGCCCCAGTTCTCCCACAGACCCGGGGTCTCGGGGAGGTCGTCTTGCAGACCGGTGGCCAGGATGATCTTGCGCGCGCGGACCGACTTGGTGGAGTTGTCCGCGTAGGTGGCGGAGACGACGAAGCCGGTGGCATCGTTGCCTCCGATCTTGGTGACGGTGCCGTTGGTCAAGGTGACAGTGTCATAGTGTGAGATTTGCTGCCGGGCGGCGTAGCGGTACCATGCGGGAGTGACGCCTGTTCTTGTATTAGAAACCATCCAGAAGCATATGAAAGTTGCTTGAACGAGAATCACTCACCATCGAAGCCGAGGACATCGTGCATGTGTCTAGTGGGCGCGTTGCGGTACTCGCCAGAGTCGATGAGGAGGGTGTTACGGCGCACACGGCCGAGGGCGCTCGCGGCACTGAGACCAGACGGGCCACCGCCGACGATGATGGCATCGTAGACCTGGGTGTCGTTGATGGGCAGGGCCGCAACAAGGCTCGATGCTGCTGAGAGCACGAGGGAGCTGAGAGTGAACTTCATGGCGGGCTAAAAAAGAACAAAAGTGGAGGGAGAGAAAGCCTATGAACGAGAGCTAGGCTTTTTGGTATTACTGGCGAGTTCGAGCGAGACTGTAGTAACGAGACTATCAAGAAAGCTTTGACGAGGGAAGAGGGTTCCCCGCCGCTCATTATAAACAAACATGAACGCCATTCATCCTCCGCTTCTTCGCGGGGTGGGAATGATTGAGAATTCCGTGCCACAGCAGCTGAATGATGCGATGTTCCTAAGACATCTGGAATGAGGCCTAGCGGCTGTCGATCCTCGTCGAAAACCAAGAGAGAGAGAGAGACGCCTTACACCGCACCGGCATGCCCGTCTGGTGTGGGGGAGGTGCCCGGCCCGCGACATTAGCGTCAAGTAGAGTGAGTGGTGTGTGTGGGCACAGCGTAGTTGAGAAGTTGTGATGATGTTGCCCAATCAAGCATCGTCAACTTTGACGAATGTGGTAGTTCGTGCATGAGAACCCGAATGCCCGCGTCGAGGCTCAAGGTACAGAGTCGATCTCGGTCGGCCGAGAGTGGGACTTCCTCTCTCGCCGTGGACCGTGGACGGTGGGAACCATGGGGACCTGGGCTTCGCTTTAGAGTTCATCCCTATGGCACATCGGTATTACCGGGGGTTGCTTTGTTTAGGGTTATCTGGGCTTATTTGGCTGTAATAGGGAACAGGGTCGAGTCAAGACCCTGGGGATACGTGATGACGTGACGGACGTCGTTGTAACCTTTTAAAGGAGAACGGCCATGCCCTTCGATGTCGCGATAAGGACCATGTCGGACTTTCAGGTGGCTACGAGTCAAGAGATTGGAAATGTGACAGGTCTTTCGGGAGCAGCTTGACCTGAAGAGCCGTCGCCGGCGAAGAAAAGTCCAGACTGACCGTGGATTCAACAAAAAACAATCAAGGGAAAAAATATTTTTTGATCACGCAAACCAGTGGGCAGAAATAGCATCAAAAGATCAAGGTTTGATAGGGAAATGAGCCCACTGAGAAATTGAGAAATCGACGAGTCAATGGACTGCCCATCCCTCTCCACAGATTTTCTCCATTGTCAAAGATGCTTTGGGGTTTAGCGCGGGCTCCATCGCAAACTTTGAATTCAACATCTCGACCGTGTACCTGATTGTACGGTATTTTACTCAGTATCTCGAAGTAACGAACACTTAGCTAATTTCCTCACCGGTAGGGCCCCGAATGGACGAGTAAACAAGCGTCAAAGGA